TTAGATTTTCAGTACAAATCGGCAATTTCATACTTTAACCCCTATTACTAGAAAATAGGTAGTAAATAGTGAGCACTTGATTTGTAAATCTCGTTTAGTCCAGCCATCCTGACGGACACGGGGAATACCTACCTTCCCGATCAGTTTAAACGTTTCGAATGATTTGTTGTCTCAGTTCGTAAACTTCTATAGGGACATTAGCGAGAATTCGAAATTGTATATGTAGTGGTGTGCCGTTCGCATCAAAACCACAAATACAAAATAACAAATACAACCCCAAATTCTTCTGTAAACACACAAATACCAGATGCTATCCCAAGCTCTGGCTAATATTACCATATTTCTAATGATTTGGTGATTTCAGCAAAGGCGGTAGGTAGTCAACTCGATGTTGACAACACGTCGACAGCGCCTCCTTTGCATAATATGCATGTGTAAATATGCCATAAATGAAACTAACCAGGTTATCAGGCCGATGGACTAACGGAGTTGGGCAAGTATCGTCACCAAATGGATGTCCAAAGATTACCAATTTATCGTAACCGATCTGGAAAAAGATGCCGTGACAATTTCGATTCGTGATTGGTCAGGGCCTGCACAGGATGGCAACGCTTGGAATGAATTGGGGGATCTTTGACTTGCAGTGGAACAGTATAATGCAAAAAAAATTATAAGAGCTTACGAAATGTAAAAGAAAGACGTTCGTAATTTATAAACAACATTTTATTTATTTAACCATTAATTTATAATAAGTATCAGTATCTGTATCTCAGAAGCTTGCACAGACCCACGTAAGGGTTTATCAAATTTATATCAGTACACTTCAGTACCGCAATCAACGTTTGTTACGGGATGACATTCATACTGCCAATACAGGGAAATGAAAGGGGATGGAATCGATAACGGAATAAGTAGCTGAATCGACTTAGTACTCAGGTAAGTTTCTGCAGGGACAAGATATGTAAACGGGGTTTAAAGGACGCCAATTTAACTTAGATTGACTGTAGGGCCCCTCATGCTAAACACCTGCGAACGAGGGAAGGCCTCAACACTACCACAATTTGAATAATATGTTGTTACCTAGTATATAATTATAACCTTAAAATAAAAAAGCATCGCCGCAAGACGAACATTGTTGCATTTGTTAGACATACATTAGACAATTTTAATTACACACAATATGCTATGTAGTTTTTTTTTATGAATAGTGAAGTCCTTTGACAAGTATAGCCTATCCCTAGTACAATTTAAATACGTATTTACATTATTTTTAAATATATAAAGAATTACACTGCAAGCATCTGAAATACAGAGACATTTAATATCTAATAACTTAAGTTATGCAACTATTATTACTAAGTATTTGATTATCATCTAACATATCACAATAAATGACTGATCACTTTTTAATAATTTCTTTCATAGTCCGTTACTTACATATTTTGACCCTAGAAACTAAAACGACATGTCATTGTAACAAGATTGTGAGCAAAATATTTGCTGAAATAAAAAGTATATTAACTTTTAACTCGTTCATACATAAAAAGATAAAGAAGAGTACTTATTATTAATACATTTAATATATATTTATATATATACAAAGTGTTCTTTTTAAATGGGCCAACATGGAGAAATCTGAAACCATAGAAGATACAGGGAAACTATCTTAGGAACCATTGTCGTACAAAATTAATAAAATTAAGTAGTTTTTTAATGCTAATAGACTCAGTTTTTTATAGGTATGATTTCATTGTATGGGAAGATAAAATCGGGACAGCAGAAGTTTTTCATACAAAATGAATAGCATTTTATTAAAATTGACCAACTTCTGTTGTCCCGATTATATTCTTCAACTACAATAAAATCATTATTATAAAAAACCGAGACTAGAAAAACAGCATTAGAAAATAGTCAATTTTATTCATTTTGTATGAAAATTATTTTATGAAATTTGACCAACTTCGGCTGTCCCGATTGTTTTCGTCCTTTATAATAAAATGCTCCCTTCATGAAACTGAGTCGATTAGCACTAAAAAAAATTTTGATCAATTTTATTCACAACACACGCTTGATCAAAAATTTACTTATGCCAAAAAAAAAACTTAATGGTGCCTAAGACAACTGTCTCAGGCACCATTAACTTTTTTTTTGTGAAAGAAAACTTCCTTGTATTTGGTATGGTTTCGGATTTCCTCATACTGTATCATATAAAAAAACACTCTGTATATGTATAACTGAGAAAAATACCGTCAGCGCGGACAAGTAATGTTCGACTAAAATTAATATATATATAGGAAAGGTATGAGAAATTCTCACACATAATTTACAACAATATAACAATAAAAATTACGATGACTGCACAATTACTAAAAACTGTATAATGTAGACGCATTGATAAAATTATAAGTAAGGATAACAAATAACAATGTAACTGCGAAACATTAAAGACAATTAATATTCCATAAAATACGATTTATATGTCATAAATTACTTAAACAACTGTTGAACCTGAGCGCCCACTATTTTGTTTTTTATTCTCTAAATTAACTATGAATTAATCGATTTTACCGAATTCTTAAGCTTAAATGGCTAATTTTTAATACTGTGAAGCGTTTAATCATTTTGCTCAAGTGGGCATCGTAATAAGGAATTGAGTCACAAGTTCATATTTCTTGATTTTAAAAGGTCAAGCAACATTTTTAAGGTCTGTATATAAAGTTGTAGAATAATAAAAGTTAAATGGAATGATAAAAGTTAAATGATAATTAACTACTGCTATTAGTTAAATATCTATTTGGCTCACACTAGTCCAAATTACTCTTCGTACGGTGCTCTTTCAAGAAATTTATTCTCGCTGCCTTCACATTACACTCTCTTCGAGGATTTTCATTTAAACTTGAATACTAAATTGGTACAATTTAATGCGTTCAGACGTTATAAACTTGAAGACGAGTTGACAACGTAAAACATTTTCGAGACTCTTCAAAAAATTTGTTAGAAACTTTTTCAATTATTGTTTTAAACAAGTCAATGTTTGCAGACATTACAAATACGAGTAAGATCTAGAAATTGTGCGCAACATAATTGACACCAATTATTGTTTTGTTTTTTCGTTCCTCAAAAAAGCATGTGATGTCTATAACTTACTGTCGAATTCAAGTAAATTCAAAAAAAAAACAGCGACAGCTTCTTTTTATGAGACGAAGTGACGCGACGAATAAGTCGTGCACCTGATGGTAAACGACACGCCTGTCCATAACAGTTGCAGTTCCACTCAGAGCGTTAAATCGCAAACATCTGAGGAACACTGCCACTGCGCCCGTCACCCCGCTACATAAGTTGAAAAGTCCCAAGTGCATGTAATTCACCAGCACATTTAAACGAGATAAACGAGAACGCGAATAAATACCTTTTTAGCATTGTTTCATTTCATACACATAAATTATATTATACACTAACTTTACGTCATGGAGTCGTATCTAGTGTTGGGCGTAAGTGGATCGGTGTCGTCCTGCCGACCGAAGTTAAATGCGTTTTTGAAGCTATCCCGTAGTCGTTCAGTAAAAGTCTTGTAGTCGAAATTCGATTGTTGCCCGAAATCGAAATCCGCTACTTCTACTGTGTATCTGTAATAGAAATTTGTGGAGATATTTAGTGGCATAATAACCGTCGTTTTTTATACCATTAAAAATAAGTGCGCATTTGACCTCCATTTCACCGACTATCATGACATAGTGTGGGTGCACGAAACGAGTCTCCCCGCAATGACATGCGAATTTTCCTAGTACATCTGGCGCATCCTGGGCAACAATTGGCGAGTACCTTACGCCGATTGCCCAATCCTTTCATCACGATGGCAAACATATCCCATGCACAACATGCATACTCGATCGTGTTGGCGTGATCAGCGCGGTTAAGTTCTGGGCCGCGATAATATAGTGTATGCCATCGATAGGATAAGATGGATAGTGACGATGTAGTCGACGATGGAGCATGAAAAGGCCCAATTTATAGCGTTCAGGGAACAAATCTGTAGACAGAGGATTCCACTCCAATGCCGCACACCATATAAAAGTGGAATCGTAACGCTTGTGCAAATCTAGGGTATATCCACAACATTGGAGTAGAGCCTACGTCTAACACTATAATAGAAAGGGAATGGCGGAATGATTTCACGCAATTTCGTCGCTCACTCCTCTTGATGTATCCTGTAAAATATCGATAAGCAAAAACGAACTTTAACAAAAATTGAGATTTTACAACATACATGATGTATACGAATCAACTCATTATGTACATCTCACTGCTGGGCTGTGGTAGGAAACTGGTGTTCAGCTGGCCATACACAGATTGGAGGCTTATACGTGATTAAATATCGGCAAATGCATGCAATCCTCATCTGGGTTTCAATAAGAATATACGCTTAACTACAACAACATTAAACTTACCTAGAACTTTGCTGGTAGTAGGCTACACCGAAAATGACCAGAGTGACAGCCACTAAACAGAACACCACGGGCACAACGATCACCGACAGTTGCGCGTGGACCTTAGCTAAAACAAATGAAAAAATAGTCCATTTATTCTAAGAACTTTAAACAATTAGAGAAGATACATTTTATTGTTGATTTTTACTTAATAGTTTTACGTTAAACGAATCATGGGATATGATTCGTTTCACGTAAAACTATTAAGCACAAGTAACTTGACCATCGACTTCTCAAGTGGGAAGTCTCAAGTTGGAATCGTAGGGTGTATGAGTTTAATCTCTAAGTTACATACACTTGTGAAACATAGATTTAATATAATAATTATCATTTATTTCGGGCCAAAAGAAAAATATCCATAGTAAAGAAAACTTAGCGTTAGTCTCATTAAAACAAACTACGCTTGCTCTTGATTTGATGTATCCATAATTTATAAATAGGACAATCGAATTTCCCTGCAATTTAAGAAAGCTGTTGAGACTTCGCACACGGCCCAACAGCGAGATAATCTGTTTTTGCATGACGACCTGGAAACTATCCGTGTGAGTTTCCACAAACATGCCAAATGCACTACACCTGCTAGCCAGTCCCATAAACATTCTAAATGCATTATTGTATTGAATGCGCAGTGCGTCACAGGCTCATAACCTGCTCATAAAAATAACGCACACTGCTCGAATAGAAAAATTGGCTGTAAACGCTTACAGCTCATATTATATTTGCTTCAATCATATGTAGTGAATGCAACGCTTTTTAACGCTAAAAAGCATTGCATTGACTACATAAGACTCATATGATTGAAGCAAATATCTATCGTATCTACCATATCGTGCAAACTTGAGGGCCAGTAATTCTGGCATTAAAAACGTGTGACATCTTCAATTCATATTAGGTCCAGCACGGCGGACTGACGTCTAAATTGTCTCCTAAGAGGAGATCTCACTAACAGTAAGGCGAGAAACGGGTTGATGGTAATGATGAAAAGGAAAATAAAGCATTAGATCCGATTTGTATTTTATGCTACCAAACAAATCGCGCGCCTGGTTATAAGAGACAGGCCTGTCCATGGCAGTTGCAGTGTCACTCAGAACTTTAAATCGCAACGATTAGAGTGGCCACTATCACCCTGAGACATAAGTTGACAAGTCCTATAATATGTGCCTGTAATTTCACCAGCACCCTTATACTTCAAAACCGTAATGCAGAAATAGGCAAGCCCGTAGTACTTTCCTGGACGAACTCTTTCACAAGGAGCTCTACTGCTACTTTATATTCAATAAAGATATATATATTTTATATAGATATATTTTAATAAAATTCATTCATTTATCCCCTTAAACACAATTTCCAATGTTTATCATTAGTGTACCTACTTTGCTAGATAACGCGAAACTTTCCATAATCGTAACTATTTGTCACCTTTTAAAAAGACATAAACAAGTCTATTGCATGCGAGACATAAAACGAATAACAATAATCGCATATTTGTTCAGTTGTTTTAAAACTATGACAAAGACAATCAGTTACACTTATTGTCTGTATGGAGTCAATACACGTAAAGTCGTGAAAGGTATTTACTGAAAGAGAATATTTTGATGTTACGAGTTTTTTTTTTTGTGGTCTTAACTCTGAAAAAACTCTCTTTGTTTGTCATCTTGAATCCTCATATCCCGCTTACAAATTACCCCGAAATTGATTATTTATCTTCTATACAGTGTGTTAACAAAAGTACTACTCAAATGTCATATGATTACTCTAACTGTGGTAGATACTGACGGATTTTATCTAAGATACATCCAAAAATTATCAATTTTTTGTCAATTTGCCAGATTAGCTTGTCGTATTCCATTTGAGCATAAGAAAACCAATTTGCGGGAAAATATTCAACACCATGGGTTCACATCAGGAAGCAACCTCATCAATTGTATCATCAGTAACTCATTATACGTCCCACTGCTAGGCACTGACCTCTAAGAAATGGGTTTTGGCCAATGCCCGCAGGTCTGTATATAGGCGGCTAGGGGACTTAACACTTTTTCCACAGGTTGTGAACTTTCTTCGACATGTATTCCTTCCCCCTTAACTAAAGGTTTAACTACTAAACATTCACAAATGTTCAACTTAGAAATTTAAGTCACAAACAACTGCTCTTCCAATGCGATACCATTGCGTGCCTAGTATCGCAACTTGACCTTCATGCGATAGAGCACAAGACTGTGTCTGTCATTGAATGCAATTTTATCGGCAAAGTGCATAGTCAGTTTTAATTATTATCGTTATTCATTTGTTTTTATAGTCCAGAAATGGTTCGTGCAAATTGATACAGTTAACCGTAGTACAGTGTACTTACTAATTACATATGTATTGTATAGTTAAGGACTAGTAAAAACTAAAAAATATTGAATTTCAAAGAAATTTTGACCATAAAAACAAATAATAAAGCCTGAACGAACTACGAATAACAAAAGATAAGTGTTTATCAAATCATTTGAAGTTAAACAATATTTTGCCAGCGATTTACTAAAATTACAGCAGGTCGAGATAAAACTTAGAAAAATATCCATTGTATGTTAGTAAAATAAAACTTAGAGCAAGTTCAGTATAAGTCAAGATAAATAATTCAAAAACAAAATAAATTATATTATAAATTTGTACTACGCTTCAATTTGCTCTGTCCAAAATTTAAAAATAAGACTATCGCACTTAGACAAAATAACAAAAGATAACGTTTTATCAAATAATTTGGAGTTAAACAATACTTTGCAATCGATTTCCTAAAATTAGCATATGAAATAAAACTAAGAAAATTAAAGCATCAAATGACACTTGCGTCAACAAAATGTATACATAATTATGTACCAGGGGAGAGGTGTGTCAATTGTAACAGGGAGGCAATTGTAACATCTATTATTTCACGACATTTATTGACGAATAGCGGATGATCTTGGCAGCAATCGAAACTTAGTTTGATGTAGTTTTACCGACCGAACGTACAGGTAAAAATTTGCGCATGCTTTGTCACTAGATGACAATTTTAAATGTGGCAAGTTTATGAAAGTAATACTATATTAATACTATAGTAATACTATAGTAATATAAATACATCGATCAGTGGTGATTTTCGTAGAAGTCAACATCTAAGCTATACGTGCAGGTATGTGAGTTGATCAAATTTACGATGGATTTTTATTATCAAGTCTTCTTTGCCAAAAAGCGGCAGTGGTGCAAAAGTAACAAAACAAGGAGGTACAGTTGTAACAAGAAAACCGCTGTATTTAATAGGTACTTTACATATACCAATTATTTTTTTATATCAACTGAACTAAATAGAACACGTATAGTATACGATACACATTTTTTAAATGGCATTTCGTTTTTAAAAAAATAAATTCTGATATAAAGCCAGTGTCCCTGCCACTCGACACGCGCTATAGAACCGATTCAGCATAGGAAAAATTGGAATTCGAGCCTAGGTAGTATCGACTGTTAAGTGATTAGCATAAACTTCTGATAAGAGTTTATTTAATTTACTTTTTACTGTTGACGATTTTTGTTTGTTATAATTGACTCACATTGCTGTTACAATTGACCCTCTTAGTGTCGCAGTTGTAACGTTATTAGCTGATCTCAATAAGTGTCATTTTCTAGAGATTTATATACTTTTTTGTTATTTTCTTTATTTCATTTTATTGTTAAATAACTTAAAATTATTGTGGCCAAAAAGTATTGCGCTGTGTTTACTAATTAAAATATTATAAATTGATTTTTTTTGTTACAACTGACACACCTCTCCCCTACCTCATAAATATTAAAGTGTTTGTTGCTTTTCATTTACTGGTATTAGGTATATTTACATAGTATGAAATCAAAGAAATAGTCTCTTAAATATACGAAATTGCACTAATTAACGAACAACGATGAAATAACATTTATGTAAAGCTTACTCCTCCACAGTTCCCACAGTGCAAAATAAATATTGCCGTGCATTTCAGTGCTAATTTTTCTAAAAATAATGTATACATAGTGGGTACCTTATTAATAAGGGCATAAAGTATCGAAGTTTTTAATATGCTTTTAAATTTTGTAACATCCTCTTTTTTAAAAAAAACAAGCATAAACATTTCAAAATTGAAGTAATATCATTCGGTTTTTCCTGTTTTTGAAGTAATAATCTATTAGTGGAAACTATTTTTTTGCATCCAAATCGTGTACATCAGTTTTTTCAAACAAACCTACGTTTCAGGCTCTTTACATTGAAATGGTATTAATCATCAAACATTTGTCCAATATTAACGCAAATTTAGTAAAAAAAAATTAAAAATATTTTAAAAACAAATAAATTAAATAATAAATCAATTACTTTTGAAATAAAAGGGAAAAAGAAAAAAAAACAAATAAAACACATTAACGAATAGCACTGTAATGTTATGTCTGCTTGGGATATTTCATGGAAGGAAATCCCTGTTAAAATTAAGGTGATTTTTTTAAAATTTCGATGGCCACTCGTAACTTCTCGGGTTGAAAGCGGACTTCTTTTGCAAGGACCTAAGATTCGTCAAACTTAATTGAATGTGTTCATCCATAACATATTCGCAGACTGAAGACTTTTTTATGCGACGGTGCTTGAGATTAGCCATATGTTGGCGCGAGTAGAAAAGCTTCACTTCGTATATTGAATGTAAGAGAAGACTCAATCGCAGTCAAGCTAATAAACTTCTTGAGACTCGAGTTCTCTAGAAATGACAAATCTTCCTCAGGAGCTTGATATAAGTCTTGATGAACGCCTCGTTCTCGCTCGACTGTTGGGGGTTTCTTATTTAAAATTGAATGATTAACTGATTTAAATCCGAAATAGTTTCATTCCTAATGTGTAGCAATTGCGAAAACCGAACTCAATAATCTTCATGAAATGAACTGTTATAGTCATTGACCAGTTATAATCGTTAATTTCGACAAATTTGAGTATCTACACAATGAAAAGCATTCATTTATTTTTTATTAAACGTAAAATAGACGAACGCTTGACCACAATCCAACCCATCTCATGTTAAGGAAAAATAAAATATGGCTATAATTAAAAAACAAAAAATTTGAACTTCGCTGCCGTGCTTACAATATTAACAGTAAGTATGTTTGAAATTCATATAGAATTACTGTTCTTAACCAGTGTTGGGCGTTAATCAATTAAATTTCAATCAATAATTCAATCAGATTAAAAAATCAATTCAATTGAAATCAATTGCAATTGATTTTAATTGCAATTGATTTTAATTGCAATTGATTTTAATTGCAATTGATTTTAATTGCAATTGATTTGATTTTAATTGCAATTAAATTTGCAATTAAAATAAATTCCGGCCGGTTGGGGGCCCGGTTGGGGGCCCGGTTGAGGGCCTTAGTTGGGGGCCCCGGTTGGGGGCCCAGTTGGGGGCCCGGTTGGGGCCCCGGTTGGTGTCCCGGTTGGGGGGCCCTGTTGGGGGCCCCGGTTGGGGGCCCGGTAGGGGGCTCCGGTTGTGGGTCCAGTTGGGGGCCCGGTTGGGGGCCCCAGGGGCCCCGGTTGGGGGCCCGGTTGGGGGGCCCGGTTGGGGGCCCGGTTGAGGGCCCGGTGGGGTCCCGGTTTTGAAAATTGATTAATTGTTAATTGTAGATATTTGCGATTAACGATTGATCAATTGTTAATTGATGTTTCGCAATTGACAATTAATTAATTGTCAATCTTTAATTGCCAGAACAATTAAATTTTGCCCAACACTGTTCTTAACCTAAGCACGGCAGTAAGGTGAATGCGGTTTAAAATACTAATAATGTCTCTCATGCATTGCCTACGTCATAACTCTTACCACCAGATCTCAACATTATTTTCGTGGATAGTTCCGTCATTATCGTGGATACAGACATTTCAAAGCGGAATTCAGCAGAAAGTTCTTAGTCGATTCCAATATTATAATATATTATTTTACTTTTGAAAAGTAATAAACGAAATTAGTCACGGAAACAACCCCAATACGAGCAATTCTTTTAAATTGCTATATAAGAAGCGAATATTTCACGAAATCACACATTTTAAACGTGTGCAAAGACTTTGCCCAAGTTTCATTGTAATCATTAAACAACCTATAATACATATTTGCGCATAATATGCGTAATTATCAGCTAAATCAGATATGCCAAATTTAAATTGCCATATTAAAATTTAAATTGTTCTATTTTAATTTCGTATGATAAGATTCTGGTCGAGCTATATAATTGTCATGGCTATCTATGTCATAAATAGTTAACAAGACTATCGCGACGTAGACGAGTCTCCCAATATGTAAGGACTGATATTTGGTATACATTTTAAAAGAATTAATTTCGTTTAATTTTTACGTAGAAATTATTATACACGTAATCACGGACGACACAAAGAAATCGACGCAAACATGACTACATACAAAAAAATTTCAGAAAAAATTTCAGAAAAACTTAAAAAAAGATTATAAAAAAACACTTACCTTTATAAATATTGACAGTAGCTCTTGACACCACCTTTCCAAGGTCATTCTTTACAATGACAACTACAGTATGTAAATCAGTATCAGAGAAGTAATGCAGCAAGGGGAAATGATTAGTCTCAGTCCGAGCCGTATTTGGACAGGTCTCGTTGCCTGTTATATTGTATTGTCCAAGTTTATATTCGGCGCAGTAGTCAAAAGGAGGGCTACCGGAAAATTTTACTTGTAAGTTCATTAAATCGCCGTGCTGTAGCCAATTCAAGCCGGTTATGTTTAGTGGTGTGCTTATTGGTTCTGAAATTTAAAACGCAGCTATGTAATCAAAAAGTCTGTTTGCGAATGTAATACGGGACTTTATCTCTAATCAACACCAATTCAATGTACAGTCAATAGCACATCAAGCCATACACTTTTGTTCGAATATCGCCTCTAGTGCAACAGAACAAAATCTCAATATTTATCTTGACGTGCTACCGTCTGCACTATATATATTAACAGTGATAGAGTTAATTTCCGAGTGCTTGTTCTAATGTTTTCCATGAATAAAGCTTTTTTAAATTTATTTATGAATTTTTTACTATTGTTACTCTATTAGCATTGAAATTAGAAATTCAGAAAATTAATCATATGAAAATAAGATTGCATTTATATGACGTTGATGGTACATCGCCCTCGTCACATAATTAAAAAATAAATAGCTATCAATAATAGCCTCAGAACTTTAGAAATAAGTAACTATTAAAGAGTTACATAAATAATGAATAACATTACGTATTATAAAATAAGATTTCACCTCTAACTCCTATCGTCGCTTGAAAATGTCCATAAGTTTCATGAGGACCAATTGGCACATTGGAATTTTTGCAAATGAAATTCTTAGGCAGTGTTATAGTATGGTTTCCTTTAAACTTAGTCTTGTTCGATATCGCTCTTTTTGCCAGCTTGTGAACCAAATCCGTTCCATTTGTTGACTTGAGAACTGTGACAGTTTCGTTGATTGGTTTGGATTTTTCTGTGGTAGTAGTCGGGATCGTAGAGTTTGGAGATTTTGGAGTGGTTGTTGTAGTGGTGGTAGTGGGTGCGGCAGTCGTTGTCGTGGTAGTTGTAACCAACGGTGGCAAAGGATCGTGATTGGCAACTACCAGTGCATCGATGTGATGGTTGCCCATTACATCGCCATAAGTATAGTTGAACGAGAAATCCGCTGAATTATCGACGTACATACAGTCTACGAACCAATAAGTGATAACACTAGATGTATTCTTTTTCAGAAATTCTAAGTCATTTTCGGATAGTATGATGCGATGTGTAACTGTTTTGTTAACTGCTACGAAGCTGTTTTCACGCTCCGTGTTATTCTGACTTAGTAGCATTTTTCCACTAAGTGCACCTGAAATATAAAATAAAAATATTAAGTCTTGTTAAGATTGTATAAAACCATTTATGGATTATTCAAACAGACGTCCAGCTTTTCCTTGTAGTTGAGACTGCAGATTTAGTGCAACTATATTGTACAAAGTTATGGTATTCTTAGTATAAAATTTACGTAATTGTCATTTCTTTGTTAGTAGGCAGACTAATTAAATTATTACGAATTCAGTAAATTTTAAGTACAGACTGTTAAAATTACCACACTTTTTAAAACTATACAAATTACTATTTGTATATAACCAATATATAAGATTATTGTATATAACATGTTACTTCTCCTCATGACTCCTAAGGGTATTGTACAATTTGAAGTATATTACATGGTCACTAAAACTGTCATAATTTTCATGTTGTCATGTCATTGTGCTCACGGTAAACGCACAGCTATTTACAAACACTATTAAACATTCACTTACTTGTTAAATTAAAAGTATTTACTGCTGTACCAACATCAACATATAAATCAAAAATTATGCGTTTCTTAACATTAACTTTAACTGCGTATTCTCCTGCTTCATAGTCATCTTTTCCATATTGTACATTCCATTTGGTCACATTCGATGTTTGTATGAACTGTAAATAAAATATGTCATTAATATTAATATATGTTTGTATTTTCCCTTGGGTGTCATATTAATTACATGTTGTACAACACGGGTATTTGGTAGTAACGTAACTCTAGAGGCGCTACTACCTAAAGCACCATGACCATCGGCTTTTTGATTTGTTAAACCCTGAATCTCTTGTGTGGTCCCTTCAATGCTCAACTGCTGGACCAAAAAATTCATCAAATCGTCATCATAAAACACACTTGTTCAAAGTATGAATACTTAGAACTACTAATTACATTCAAAGATGGCAAGAAAAACATTAATGGCATTGTATGTAAATGATAGTCATTACTTATTTTTATTCTTGAAACCAAATCACTATTTGGTGACAAGGCCATAACACAAAGTATCCTTTTAAGTAATTGTACCAAAGGTAACTATACGACTTAGACTACCTACATGGTACATTTACATTTATAATTTTCATCTCTTTCAAAGACAAGTGGAGAGCCATAAACTCTAGGTAATCTTAGCGAAAATAAAACTACAGAAAAAAAAATATATATAATAGTACATACTGCGTCACGATGCTGTGGTTCGGCATCATCCCAGAAAACGTACTTGAGCTGAGTTGAACCATCATAATTGGATACTGTGGCTGTAAATGAAATGCTTGACCCGAGAACTGCTGGGCCAGTGTTTGATAGTGATACTGTCATGCTACCTAAAACTGAAAATAAAAAATATTTTAATATTTTTTTGTGATTTGTTCTGTGATCACGAAATATTATACTATGTTCAGGAATTTAAATGGTTACCTATCACAAGCTAGAAACATGATTTACAGAATTTTGTTTCTCCGAAAACCTTTCGATTGTTATTAAATAGATTTTGTTTCATTTGCCCAAAAACACGTTACGGTTTTTTTCATTACACCATCTAATGTTCCACTATTTTGACATATTGACAAGTTATTCTTTTCCCGATTTTTACTTCCCCAATAAACCGTTTGGCCAATATATCTAATTAAATATTTTTATTTTGTAAAAAAAAACGATATCCATGATACATTTTTGTTATATTATTTCTTATTACAAATATTAAAAGTATAAGAATGAGTCGCACAATAGAACTCGTCAAATTAAAGCACCTCGCATCTTTAGAAAATATGGTAAACGAGATGCAACTTAATTTGATCGAGTTGTAGTCGCTAGCTTTGCTCGTTCGGATCGTGCTGCTTTTTCATATACTAACCTAACCTAAACCTACAAGAGGGGGTCGTACCGTCTAGGTAATGCAACCGAATTCGGCTCTGGCATTCGCCGGCCGCAGCCGCGACACGCTCGCTTCGCTCGCTCGGCTCGTGCGGCTTTTTCATATACTAACGTAACCTAAACCTACAGGAGGGGGTCGTACCGTCTAAGTAATGCAAATGAATTCGGCTCTGGCATTCGCCGACCGCTGCCGCGGCAAGCTCGCTTCGGTCGATCGGCTCGTGCGGCTTTTTCATATACTAACCTAACCTAAACCTACAGGAGGGGGGCCGTACCGTTTAGGTAACGCAAACAAATTCGGCTCTGGCATTCGCCGGCCGCTACCGCGACACGCTCGCTTCACTTGCTCGGCTCGTGCGGCTTTTTCATATACTAACCTAACCTAAACCCACAGAAGGAAGTCGACCTAGCTAGGAAATGCAGACAACTTCGGTTCTGGTACTCTCCTCGATTCAGATATAAGTTATTTATTGAATACTCAAGACCATTGTTTTCAAATTACATTTCAGACGACAGCAAAAACATAGCACAATGGTATGACGAAAATTACGTAAGTGGACTTGTTGTGCACCAGCAAAGTACGGTCCAGAATTTTGGAGCTGTACGGTAAAATTGTATGGCAGTACAATTTCATCTAAGAATAATAATTTTGTCAAAACGAATTTTCAGCAATCTAAATTATATGGAAAACAGACAGTGTAACAAACATGATTAGACCAAACAAACTTCTGCCCAAAGAAAAAGTATGTGTAATAATATTTTTTTTATTAAATTTTTTTTTACAATCTCAAAACTAATAAATTAAAACATAGCGGTACAACAAAAACCTGAATAGGTTTATCCGTACACCGCGATTCATTGACGTGAGCTCGTAACAAAACTGGCTAACCCGTTTGCTTACGTACGCTTACCCACTACCATAAAAACAACCACTACTCGAGTAAAAGACCTGTGAACGAAAATAATAAATTATACCGAAATAGATAGATACCCTCGGAGTAGTAATACAATAAAAACAGTCACTCACTTATATAGGACGTTCAGAGTTTATTTAATAAATATGATTTAAGATTTGTTTTTATGCTGTTAGTTGTAAGGTTAATTTTTATTACTGGTGGTAGTGAATTAATTATTTTAGGTATCTGATAACTCAGTCGATTTTTACCGTATATATTATTATAACGAGGTATTATTAGTTAATAGGTTTTCGGACAAACGATACTTCTGCTGTAAGACATTTCTGTGTTGCAAATTTATACCAAAACTGTCATCGCACTAATGAAAAAAAGTCGAACCGTTTTTGGAGTAATGGAATTCGGAAAAAATAAATTCCAGTTTGTGACAGGTTACCATTTAAATATTTCGAACATTTGAGTCTGAGCACATTAAAGCACGAAAGACCATGCTCTAATATTGTCTTCACAAATTTTAAACTGTACGCCTTTCCTTATGTGTTATTATTACATAGTTTGGGTGACTTGTTCATGGCCAGGGCAACCCTACATTACTACGATCAGTAATTTAATGTATCATCACTACTTACATCTCAGTACCAATGCCAACAGAAATAAATGACTATTTTGTCTCTGAATATTTTTACGTCGTTTGGCTGGATGTGTCTACTCAATATTTTTCAACTCTTCCATCTAATAACAATGCACTCAGCATGCTAAACTCATTTTAGAAACAAATAAATAAATAATAATAAATATTAGACAACATCACATCCCAAAGTAAGTAGCTAAAGCCCTTTGTCATGGAAATCGAAATCAACAACTGTACCACAAACACCCAGACCCGAGACAATATACAAAAGTAAGTTTTCTACACTGACCCAGCCGGGGATCGAATGCGGGATCTCAGAGATGGCGACTCAACCACGGAGGTCGTCAATTTTATTTATACACATATTTATATTACGTATCTAAGAATTTAACCATTAGTAGAAATTACATAGGTCAACATTAATAGGCATTATTTAGGTGTACATGCTCCATCGCCCGCCGATCTCATCATCACTTTCCTTTACACACGTAGTGGGTGGTCAAATGCACTTTTTTTTTAATAGAAAAAATGTTCTTGGTCTCTAGATAGATTTCCTTATTTATGTCTTGAAGTACACACCATGTGTTCAATTGAATAGTGGGTTTTAAAGTAATCAAATATATTTTCTCCAGTCTGACAAATGAGTCATCGTAAAATAAAAAATGTAATTATAAATAAATATTTCATGAATAACAATAACTTGCTAGAAAAACCAGCATTAAAATGCAACAAAGTTTATTTCCAAGTAAAGTTGATAAGTTGCTACTTAACAGTTTAAAAAAACCGACCTGAAAAGTACGTGGAATTACATATAATTACCAAGTTTTATTGAAATCGGTTACCGGAAAGTGCGCAAACCCCGATTCATCCCCTAGTTCGCCACTATAGTATATAGGCATATAGGTATCAAGTCCCGACTTGACACAGGAGATAATAAAAATCGGTTCTCACTACTCAAAATATATTAAGAGAGAAAAACGCCTTGAATCGGAGAATAGCAAAATCAACCATTAATATAATTGCTCCTTATAATAAAATTTTGGCGCTATTTATAAAAATGAATCTTCATGCGTGAACAGCCACCCTTAGAGGTGGATGATTTTCTTCAACATTAAATGGGACCACTATGTAGGTACCCTCTTTCCAACAAAAAAAGAAACATGAAAATCGGTTCTCAAGTGCCGGAGTTATCGCGTAACATACATACAAAAAAACATGCAAGGTTTTAGAGCGGATCCTTAACAAACAACTGACCCAATACCTAGAAGATCACTCCATAATTAATGATCGGCAGTATGGGTTTCGTCCGAAACGATCAACGGGTGACCTTCTAGCGTACTTATCGCATATTTGGGGTGAGGCTATAGACAAACGTGGCGGGTCGTTGGCTGTTAGCCTCGATATAGCCAAAGCGTTCGATCGGGTCTGGCACAAAGCTCTTCTCTCCAAGCTCCCGGCGTACGGTTTGCCAGCCCAGTTATGCAGCTGGATTGCCGATTTCCTTCGTGAGCGGAGAATTCGCGTCGTTTCTGACGGCAGCATTTCGAGGTTCGTGAATGTGAACGCCGGCGTACCGCAGGGATCCGTCCTATCTCCCACGCTTGGGAATATTCATTGTTATGCAGATGATAGCACTGTTATAGTACCCATTTAATGGGATTATAACTGAATTATAACAAAATTGATTGCATTGGAATAAACCAAGTTAAAGAAAAAAAGTGTATATACTTATATTGACTATGTCAAAAGTTATAATACAAAAACTGATAATATTATATTTTGTTGGTAAAGAGCTTACAAGGAAAACACCTTCATGTAAATTCGAACATAAATATGTTACTCCTGGCATAGGTCTGCATCACTAAGTGTTTATAAACAAAATGCAGTTTACTACAGCATTCTTCAGGAGTGAAGGAAATCTTTAACGAATCCTGCATGTCATACATGATTTGTGAATGTCTTATAAAACAAGTGTTCAATTTCAAGTTCATCAATTTGACCAATTATCAACAGAAAACCTTCTAGTAAAATTAATTAATTGCAATATTTAAGTTAATTGATTAATCTTCTATTACATGAAGATGTTATATAATAAGCTCATTTTATTGGAAGTACAATAATTTAAATATTTGAAGTCAATTAAAAATTAACACCTTAATTTTTTTAAGTAATCAACATTTTTTAAAAACAAGTAAAATAAAGGACTTGCCTGTCTTATTCTAGTATTTTTCTACTATATTAATATTACGACTACTTGTAATCAACAAATACTTGAACAAAAACTATTATATTTAGAATCGATTAATTGAATGGAATATGTGTGTTTATAAGTGTTCTGTTCAATCAATTGATTTAGAGAGAGCGGAAGGAGGTTTCCTTCAGTAAATAGCTCTTGTGACATCATAGAGGGTACAAAAAATGTGGCATGCTTGGTTTTCATACAAATTGATGTACTTGTGGCGTCTATCTAGATATATGTCTGTGGTTAACACCATACTCTAAATTATTTTGAATTAAGATAGAATATTTGATAAAAATGTACAGCGATATGTGTTTGTGGAAAGATTACAAATGGCTAAATTCATTATATATACTTTACAGTGTGTAAGTGACTACAGACTGGAATGCATGAAATAGTTATCTAAATAATATTAGTCAATGTTTAATCAAGAGACATGCATAAGGATATTTGTAGTTATCAAACTGTTCTTGAAAATAGATAAATAAATGAATGAATATCATTGCACATGCATTAATTTGTTGCTAGGACGGGCTACCTCCATCGTCCACCTTCCCAGATCACAATAGGGTAATTAATTTTTTTAGAGAAAGTTTCTTGACACTACCTGGTCATCTCTTGATTAAGTCTACGGTTGAGCAATATCTAGGGTGAAAGGAAAATAGAAGATATCTTCTCGAGCAGGCAATCAAAAATGACAAAGAGATGCTAAGCGAAAATAAAGGTGTTAACATAATGTGGTTGCACAAATGTCAGTCATCGAGATTGTGGCTACCATACCTTATACGCAAACGTTATTGCTACATAATTAATTGTAAAAAAATAACATCGGTTGCTTACCTGTTTCAAGAAGGAACGAAAGACATATAAGCAAAATAAAATGAGCCATACTGTTGGTCGACAGAATAGTCACGCTCAAAGTGACTTACGATGAAAAGCCAGAAATTCTTAGGAACACAGGGTATAAAGATTTATCTAACAATAGTATAGATCAAAACATTTGCGTCGTCACAAAAAATGTTAGAAATTCCAGCACCGTACCAATACAATGTAATCAAAGTCAATGAGTGAATGTTAATCGAATGAAATTGAATTGAATGAATCGGTGAAAGTGACAATACTTTTTTTTATTGAGCTTTGGCTACAAAACAATGTTGACAGATTATTCATTAATAAAATTATAATCAAGAATCTCAAAACGTATTATACTGAAAATTTAATTCATGTAAGATCTGTAATTATCCATCATTATTTTTCCTCAGTGACAGTGCCATGAGTGGCCATGAAAGAAATGGTGAAAAATATAAAACATAAATATTCTATAAAGTATGGAAAAAAGCATATTTCAATCTCTTTCTGTCACACACGATACCTGTGTTCTACGAGCTCCGAATCTATGTAAAAGAAAGAGAAGGATAACAATTTTTTGACAGATCGATGTATTTTCTGTTTCAGCTTCTAACTTTATATAGCAAAAATGCTCTGAAAACAACACTCGAAACCTTAAGACAAGTCGTGAAGTAAAGAAATGAGATAGACTGCAAGAGAAACTTGTTTTTCTGTTGTGTTTGCACTTTTTTATTTCAGACAACACGGTGATTAGATAATTAATTAGTGCAGAATTTTCGTGAACCGTGTGAATTTAAGGATATGGAAAATATTACAGCGAAGTACAATTTTACAGATTAGGTAGTGTCTTTTGGATAGCGCATTGAAAAATGGCTACCGTGTTCGACAGTCCGTTCATCAGGCAACGTTTACATCGACTGCGGCATCGTGACTTCGACTTTGACGAGGACCAGAGATTTGGTCGCTGCGACTGTACCAGCTATTCGTATTTCGTGCTATCGATGGTACTGTTCTCAGTCGGTACAGTTATAACAGTTCTTGCCTTAGGAGATGCCGATGGTTACATTCTCAGCAATTTGGGACACATGTGGCTTGTAGGGCCGATATTTATATGTTCTGGAATGATGGTTGCCGTTAAAAGTATGCTATACTTGCGAAGGAAAAGTGTCATACAGATGCTACTACATCAGCGCGCGATAATCAGGGTAATTCGTTTGACTCGATTTCATTTCACGCTTCAGTTCTGTTGATACAAATAACTAACTTAAAACACACGCTGTCGGCACAACATTAAGTAATTACCCTATACACTTGTGTATTGACGACAACAGTGGCTTCACAGTTTGTATTGTGGGTGAATAAAGAGACCCTGGTCTGGGTGTTCTAGGTATTACCTCAGAGTGAATTCTGTTGCTCTGGTTGGTGTGATCGTCTGGTGGATTATTATTATTATATTTTGTGGGCCACAACCACCCTACTCAGTATCTTGAGTTTACTTCAAGCTCATAAAAAGTATTAACATGTAGTCTTTTACAGGACATGGCTGCAGTCCAGGAACAAGCTTACAGTGGTCAAGTTCCACGCACTGCTTCCAGTGCTACACTACCTCCGTCTTATGATGCCTTATTAGCTAGTCCTGCAACAAGTAAACCCCAGCCTTCTGGTTCCGAGCCACCACCACCAACTTATGATGAAGCTATGCACCTCATAGGAGAAGAAAAATTCCAGATTGACAACAAAAATGATGACAGTGCCAAACAGGAAACTAGTCACCAAACCTCTGAAATAAATGATGGCAAGCCATGAAAGTATCAAAATAATTAATAAACTTGTTTAACACTTTAGCTTTGTAAGAAAACTTAATACTTCCTTTTGTACTTATAATTTTTATTTAGTTGTTTACCATGTTTTGCAAATGTGCCTCAAATTACCTTGTTAACAATATTGTTATTGCAATGTAAAGATTTTGTAAAGTATAGAAGTAATAAGCATTTGAAAGTGTGTTGACATTTGTCATTTCAAAGGAAAAGCTGCAGTATAGCAGACTGCAAGTTGTTACTTATGTGTTAATAAGCTAGTGGTTTATATCACTTTCTGAATGCAAGAGCCAATTAATTGTAATACAAAGTGTAATATATATTTTCTATTCTACTTATTGGCACACTGAATTTGATCAAAGTCTATTATATTTTCAGAGTACTTGTTTAAACATGAAGCACAATTCTTATGCAATCAGCAAGTGGCATTTAAACCGTTTGTAACTTAGCTATGGCTGAGGCATTTTGAAACTAAACTTATTTTTTTACTAATTATTATAAAGATCAACTTAAGAACACCATAACCAGTGTTGTGGGTAACTAGGGAGAATAGATTTAATTATTGTTTTAACTCCTGACTCCACTGTTATAATGTATATCTGTAAATGTAGAGAAATAGTATGTGTTATCTTGTTTACTTGATAGTGACCTGGTTTTGCAATTAATGTCAAGACTGATGCATTTATATATCTGAACTACCAGTTAAGGCGAACAATTGTTGATTGTTACAGGGGAATTTAAAAAAAACAAACGGGGTATTTATTGAATCTGAGCATACTCTTGCGGGTACATAGTTGTTTGCATGAGTTAATTTTCTCTGTTGCACAATTTTAAGTTTGTATTTAAGAGCAGGTTATTTTGAAATGAAGTTCAATGTTCCTTCATAACATTGTGTTCAGTCTTTTTTTAGTATTATCTATCTTTCACAATTTCCCAAGTGATTGCTTTTTTACTATAAATTTTTATTATAGTGCAGTAGAGAGAGCATTGACAGGGCCTTATACTTTGCCTTTTATTATAGAATAACAAACAATGTGCCTAATTGTGTATCTTCATTAGTTATTGTAAGAAATACCACTGCATTTTAACAACGAATTGACCATAAAGACTTGATTTAGTAATACAAACAAGCCAAACATTTAAATGTTGCATGTTATGCTACATTGGAATAAAATTAGTAATCTCTTATCAATGTCACTTAAGTTGTAGAATAAGTTTTTATTTCAAAAACAGCAAATAGCTTGGTTAAATAAATTTCTTTTTGACATTGCTAATTAATAAATATAGTTAATAAGTTAGGTTATTTATGTAGAATGACTTGCAATGACTTTTGTATTACTACATTGAGATTGTCTAGTCAAAAGACGTTGTTAATATTATTGAATCAAAATAAATGCCAAGATTACTTATCCAATGTTCCATATGTTGTTGCAAAGGTAATTATAATTATAACATTAATTTGTTATTAAAAACTTTTCATAATGTAAATGTTTGAATATCAAATTATCTCAGCTTGTTAAACAATGATCAATGTCTTTTAGTGTACATAGGAGACTAAACAGTACAACATTGTATAGTATTATTTTCTTGATTGTTGTGCGCATTTTTTAATAAATGGGACTTTTATTCTGCCAATATTAAAAGTTGTGAACACTGGCATTACATTGGGCATAGTGCAAATCCGCGTATGTAGTATTGGTAAAAGGGGCGGGAAAATTTACAGGAGAGGGATTTAACATATCACTTTGTTATTCCAATGGCTACGACTTTCATTTTTAGATAGTATGCATTAATTTATGTTGCCTACGGACTGATAACAATAGATTCCCGTAAATCACACAAATTTGGTTACCACGACTTTTACGCGGATTTGATTCTGCCACTAAATTACCGAAATGGAAACTCGTAATCCAATGCTAGTTACGCGTAATTGCACTATCCATAACGATTTGATACACAGTAATGGGAAATATGGAATTGTAAAGCAAATTATAATTTAATAGTTAAATACATAGCATATCAAGCTTAAGTTTTATGTTCAACTCTAAGCTTCTTGTGATAGAAAAGTCCAAAAAGTCAAGGTTAATGTGCTCTTGACTGTATCTATACTCCACTTTAAAAAAGTGATGTTCAAGGTCAATAATCATATAGTAAAGTTGTTGTAGACCATTTGTAGACAGTTTTATTGATATATAAAACTGTTCTATAAAAAGCATAGATAGTGAATTTTGACATTCTAATTATTCATATTCTTATTTTGACAGTTTGCCCTCTAGTATTGAAATCAATTTGTAAAGTATAGACACATGTCTTAATTCTAAATCTAATTTAAATCAAATTATTCCCTATTGTAGATTTTTACAATCACAGATAAAACATCCGCATAAAAACAAAAAAAGGAGCAAATAGCAACAGAAACATCTACTATCAAATTGCTTAATTTTTTTCATAAATTTATTGAGATGAATGTGTGAATCTGGATGTAGTATAACATCTATAGGGACATTTTGCTATGACAATAATTTATACACCTGCAAATGAAATAAGTTTGGCCTATTTATTGATTAAGCATTTCAGTCAATAGAATATTCAATGAACTGTCATTTGACTCCATTTTGGAAAAAATGTTGAATATATAAGAATCTGTATTACAAACATTTTTTGTATATTTTGATGGTACAACAACATGTGGAATAGTGAGTGACTGCTTTAAATTAAGGAAGTTAGTGTTAAAGATCTCCCTAGAACTTTTAATTATACATTTTTTCAGAGTTACTGACGGTTTTATTAGTATAAACAATACAAAAGATTTCATTGAACCAAGGTTCAGTAGTCATGTTAATCTACCAAAATACATTGCTCTAAAACAAACATCTCTTAGTTGGGGCCATTGAACAACCACTATGTCGGCAAAGAACTGAAGAATCTTTCCTGTCAATGACATCGTTCTCACCCTACAAATACTCTCAATAAAAATTATTCTACAATCCACAATAAAGAAGCATCTAAGAATAAATGCAACAACACATACTGGAATGCAAGTGCCTGGTCCGTTACATAGTACAATGTTAGGTTTGAAATTGTAAACAACAGGAATGGTATACAATATTGAGTATAAGGAACTGAATATAGATGATAAGTAAGATTGATTTACATTTCTGCTTCTAGGAATTCTACTTATAGCATATGTGTTATGAATTTCACTTTTTTCGGCTTCACAAATTTTTACTTCGCTGCTGAAATCATTATCGGCTACTATATAAAGCCGCGGTTGATACTTTTTTAAATCCAAAGTTTTTGCAATGCGTAACAGCTCTGTTGTGTGGCCACCAGATCCAATGCATAAAATAGTGCGTAATGAATTCTTTTCATAATCAAATCTGTAGTTAGACGTAAATATTTGATAAATCAGGATCAATGCTCTAAGGGTTATCGCCGCCAGTAAAAGAGTAATGACGAGAACGATCAGAACTATGGATATCATTTTCTTCCACAAGTTAGCACTACCGAAATCGCATGTGGTAAATGGCAAAGTACAACAACAACATTAACAAAAGTAACGCCAAGATAATAAAAATCATAAAAGTAACCTTGTGTTGTGTACCAAAACAAATGTCAAATCAATTTCTAAATCTCTCTTTTTAATTTTTTAGCTTTGGCTATAACTATCGCTTAATGGACTATATTTTAATGCGCTTTTTTGTTTAGTTTTTGTAAAAGCCATAAACAAAACTTTAGGTTTTCTCTCTCCATCAGATCAATAGATTTTTAGATAAATAATATGTGTTATCTATCTCTCAACTTATTGTCATGCTTTATGTATCTACAAATTATTTAGAAATATTTCATTCATCATCATCTTATTTAACAGCACTTACATCATATAATGCTCTAGGGCTCATAAATAACCACAGACATGTATCTCGATAGACGCCGCAAGTGTACGTACTTCGCGTGCCCAAAGTAAGTGAAATTCACTTACTTGCCGTTGCTATTTTTCAGAACGCGCTCGACCGTTAGATAAAAACCAGTCCAAAACGCGAAAAATGCATTACTGTGCCGTTATAAACTGCAAAAGCACCACAAATGTGGGTAAACGAGTAAGCAGGGACGTTTCTTTGGGCAAGTGTTTTTGTAATCAGAAGATGCATAATATAATTTAAAAACAATTATTTTGGTTTTGTACCAATTTGGAGAAAACAAAAATGCAACCCAGTGTATGCTTCATATTTATAATTGTGAAGTGAATGCATATTCTATCACTCTTCATTGTCTATGCTGTAGGTTGCTATGGCTACAGTCTGACTTATTTTTTTTCACTCTTGTCACTCATGTATATACTGTTACATTTAAACTTGGTCTACTTATTAAATATATAATAATATTCATTTATACTTGCATATCCTTTATTATTTACATAACAAAAACTTAAAATGGTAGCAGAGAAGGAAAAAGATCCGATATTTTTGAAGTGAAATGTAAAACTCGCGCAATATAAGACGATGCCGAAAACGACATATCACATCGAACCTTTGGATAAGGATAACTATGATACCTGGGCGATACAAGCTGATGCCGTGCTAATAAAAAACAAACTTTGGAAGTATGTTACTGTCATAATATTAACTCTTTAGTTTCTAATGTCTATTTTGAACTTTACATTTGATAGTCTTTTAGTTCATTGTTGTCAAATATTTTTGTGGAATAAAACCGTTATTCTAAAGGTTTTATCTTATTTATCAATTTATTCCACAAAATGTTATCAGAATAAATAAAATGGAACGGTTTCTGCGTCCCGATAAACTGAACATTGATCCAACCGGTAATTCCGCCTCCAAGGAATGGGAGCACTGGAAGAGGACGTTCGAGAGTTTCTTATCGAACTTTACAAAGGAAACAGCTGGTATGAAAATAGACATACTTATAAACCACGTATCTCCAACAATCTTCGCATACATAAGTGAATGTACTACCTATGAAGAAGCCCTAGACATACTCGACAAACTATTCAATAAACCAAAAAATGTAGTCTATGCCAGGTATATACTAGCTACTAGGAGACAAAAGCACGATGAGAGCATTGATACTTATATGCAGGTGCTAAAATTATTAGCGAAAGATTGTCAATTTGGAAAGGTTGATGCTGAAACGAATAAATCCGATAATATTCGAGACGCATTTATTACTGGTCTCAATTCGAGTAAAATCAGGCAGCGATTGTTTGAAAATCTAACTCTATCTCTTGACAAAGCCTATGATCAGGCGAGATCGTTAGAAATGGCGGAGATGAATTCACAGAGTTACGAATCTTCAAATTTGAATGCTGTACAAGGTTCATCAAAGGAAGAAGAATCATCAGCAGCGTCTTTCTTCAAGCGAAAATGTTTCTTCTGTGGGGGTCGCGTGCATCCTAGAAAAGATTGTCCAGCACTCGACTCTACCTGTCAGATTTGTAAAAAAAAAAGGACACTTAGCTAAAGTATGTCGTAGCAAGAAACAGACTGCTGCATCAGTAGTCGAAACTGAAAGTAATAAAACTAGTGCTTGTATAATAGCGGCATCGCCGGACTCGCTTAGAAAGGCTACTGTAACGGCGTACGTTCAAGGGATACGCGCCCAAGCATTAATCGATACAGGCAGCTCAATTAGTTTTATGGATGAGGAATTCTTTAATCTCTGTCGTTTAAAAAAGAAACCGAGTAACCAGAGAATTTCAATGGCTTCGACTACTCTTACTTCCAAAGTAGAGGGACAAACTAGCGTCTCTGCCAAAATTGGAGATTATGAGTACAAAAATCTGAATCTACTCATAGTAAAGAATTTATGCGCTGATCTCATCATTGGACATGATATTCTGCATCAACACTCTTCACTAGAGTTTTCTTTTGGTGGTTTGAAGGAACCTATCAAAGTTAATGTGTGCAGTGTTGCTGCAGCTACCGTGCCTGCCGTACCACTGTTTTCTAATGTATGTCCTGAAATTAAGCCTGTTGCTATAAAATCGAGAAGACATAGTGAGGATGACAAAGAATTTATAAAAGAGGAAGTCAGGAAACTTTTGGCTGATGGAATAATCGAAGAAAGCACGTCCCCCTGGAGAGCTCAAGTCCTTATCACAAAAAATGTCAACCATAAGAAGCGTCTTGTCATCGATTATTCCCAAACTATAAACAGATATACTCATTTAGATGCGTACCCTCTACCAAACATAGAGGAGCTGGTGTCACAAATATCTAGATATCGTATATTTAGCGCTATAGATTTGCAAAGTGCTTATCATCAAGTTCCTATTTTGCTCGAAGAACGTCATTTTACGGCTTTTGAGGCTTTAGGAAATTTATACCAATTTCTCCGAATTCCATTTGGCGTTACAAACGGCGTCTCAAGTTTTCAAAGGACGATTGATTGGGTAATCCGAAAAGAAGATCTCAAGGGAACGTTCGCTTATCTTGATGATATTACAATTTGTGGCAAGACCCAGCTTGAACATGACAAAAATCTTAAGAAATTCTTGGCAGCTGCCCAGAAATATGGCCTCACTCTCAACAAAGAAAAGAGTAAGTTCTCACAAAACTCTATTAATATTCTGGGTTATAACATAGAAGACAACATTATCAAACCGGATGCAGACCGCTTGCGCCCACTTCTGAACTTACCACCACCATCTGATCTATCATCACTGAGAAGAGTGATAGGAATGTTTGCACACTATAGCAAGTGGATTTCAAATTTTTCAGAAAAAGTTCACGATCTTACTAATGCAAGGATATTTCCATTAAGCGACAATTTAGTCAAAAACTTCAATGTACTCAAATCAGATATAGCCAAATCAAGTATTCATGCAATTGATCATAACGCACCATTAACCGTGGAAACAGACGCGTCAGATCATTCTATCGCAGCAACTTTGTCACAGGCTTCTCGGCCTGTTGCCTTTTTCTCCAGAATGCTAAACAAAAGTGAACATAATCACTCGGCGATAGAAAAAGAAGCTTACGCTATCGTCGAATCGCTGAAGAAATGGCGTCATTTTCTTATCGGCAAACCCTTCCGGCTTATCACTGACCAAAGATAGTAAGTATCTTTCATGTTTAACAATAAACTAACGAGCAAAATAAAGAATGAGAAAATACAACGCTGGCGTCTGGAGTTGGCGCCATTTAAGTATGACATTATACATCGTCCAGGCAAACAAAATGATGCAGCGGATGCACTCTCACGCGTATGCAGCTCAATATCGACACGAAATGAAAAGTTATATTCATTGCACAATGATTTATGTCATCCGGGCATAGCACGAATGACCCACTGGCTTAAATCAAAGAATCTACCATATTCTACGGAAGAAATTAAAAACATGACTAAGTCGTGTAAAATTTGCTCCGAAATAAAGCCAAGATTTTACAAACCTACAATTGATCCAGTTTTGATAAAAGCTACGTCGCCTATGGAGAGACTGAGTATCGATTTCAAAGGACCAGTACCTTCTAATACGAGAAATAAATACATTCTTACAGTAATAGACGAATACTCACGCTTTCCATTTGCATTTCCGTGCCCAGACATGAACTCTTCAACGGTAATCAAACATTTAAATGAAATTTTTATGCTATTCGGTATGCCGTCTTATCTACATTCAGATCGAGGAACCTGTTTCATATCTACTGAAGTAAAGAACTTCTTAAATTCACGTGGTATTGCGTCGAGCAGAACTACACCTTATAACCCAAGAGGAAATGGACAGGTTGAACGTTTTAACGGAACTCTTTGGAAATCAGTGCAATTGGCTCTACGTTCGCAGAACCTACCAATAGAAAATTGGGAAAAGGTTCTAAACCAAGCTTTACATTGTATCAGATCTTTGTTGTGCACAGCGACTTGTTGTACGCCGCACGAAAGAATGTTTACACATACCAGGCGGTCATCGAATGAAGTATCTATACCTACCTGGCTGACGGAATCAGAAAAAGTATTAATGAGAAAATTTAATCGTACTAACAAGTATCAACCTATTGTTGAAGAAGTGACTCTTCTGCACGTAAATCCAGACTACTCCTATGTTCGCTATGAGGACGGTCGAGAGACAACTGTTTCCAACCGACATTTAGCACCATTGAGCCTAGATAGTCAGATAATGGTAGATGAAACAACAAATATTGAGGCTCTTAACGAAAACTCCAATGAAGTGGAGGACCCTAATCCTACATCTCAAAATTCTGAAACCAGATCTTCTGATTCCGAAAATGAGACTGAAGACAGACCACCCTGAACCTCCAGCGGACACCGAACCAGAGATTCGAAGGTCTGCAAGAGTGCGACACCCACCAGCCCACCTCGAGGATTATTTTCAAGGCTGATAGAATGTCATAATATTAACTCTTTAGTTTCTAATGTCTATTTTGAACTTTACATTTGATAGTCTTTTAGTTCATTGTTGTCAAATATTTTTGTGGAATAAAACCGTTATTCTAAAGGTTTTATCTTATTTATCAATTACTAACACACTACCTCCAACTCCAAGCAACGATGAACTTGACAGCGACAGAGAGGCTAAGTCAGAACTTATTTTACTGATTGCACCTTCACAGCTAAAGGACATCAAGAAATGCACTTCTGCGAAAGCCCTATGGGACAAATTAAAGGAAATACATGCAAGTAAAGGCCCTGAGAGAAAAGCTACTCTTTTAAAACGGTTAATACTAACTAAACTTGAAGACAGCAATGTTCGTGAGCACCTGAACAAGTTTATGGACACAGTAGACAAGTTAGCAGAATTGGATGTAGATATTAACGAGGAACTACTCACTATCCAGATGCTCTACAGTCTTTCCTCTGAATACGAAAACTTTCGTGTAGCCATGGAGTCACGCGACGTTCTACCGAAACCTGAGGAACTTAAAATAAAAATTATTGAAGAGAGTGACGCTCGACACCGTGACGTCGAAGTCAGCCCGCCACCACATGAAGAAGAAAACGCACTCTACGTATCTTGCAAAATCTGTAAGAAATCGGGATGAAAAATCTTTCAGAAGAAGACGCACAAGATTTGCTCTAACTGCTGGAAGAAAAATAAAGCGGCTAAAGGCTCAGAAAATAAAAGTTCCTACTATGCCGAAGATTGCTACCTCACTTCAAACAAAAACAACCAGAACGACTGGATACTTGACAGCGGCTGTACCTCTCATATGACATTTCAACATAAGTACTTCAAAAACTTTAGTACAGTTTCAAGAAAACTTAATTTTGCTTCAGAACAGCACTCTACTGAAATTAAAGGTGAAGGCAGAGTAACACTGAAAACCAATTATCGAGTAATTAATCTCGAAAACACTCTGTACGTACCCTCACTTTGTAAAAAATTACTCTCAGTGCCAAAAATGACAGAGCATGGAGCTTCTGTAACTTTTTAAAAAAGATAAAGCGTTCGTACGCAACAAGACAGGAGATTTGGTTATGACTGCGGAAAAATGTCAAAACAGTGGTCTCTACTATGTCTAGTCGCAAACCATCGAACAAAATTACGCAGCTAAATTTGAAACAATTTAAACAGTGCGATGAAAAACTCCTTACTGGAATGGCACAGGAAGCTTGGACATATGAACGACAAAGATCTGCGTCTAGCTCTCAACAAGGAGACTTTGATTGGATTATACTTTGACAAAAAAGAGTCTCTGTCCGACTGTGACGCATGCATTCAAGCTAAAATGACTCGCGTACCAAGCCCTCCACAAAGAACAACTCCTAGAACAACTGAACGTTTGGAGATTGTCCACAGTGACGTGTGTGGTCCTATCACACCTTCTAATGGAAAGAACCGCTACTTCGTCACTTTAATAGACGATTACAGTAGATATGGACGTGTCTACTTTATGAAAAACAAATCTGAATTACTAAATCACTTCAAAACATACAAACGAGAAATGGAAACATTTACTGGAAATAAAGTCAAGCACCTGCAAACAGATAACGGCACTGAATATGTCAACGGCAAATTTTAATTTCAAGCCTATCTTCAGGAAAATGGAATAGTAAGACGCTTATCTGCACCTTATACCCCACACCAGAACGGAATTGCTGAACGCAAAAATCGTACACTGCTGGAGAAAGCTAGAGCAATGCTAATAGACGCCAAAGCACCTATGTTTCTATGGGCGGAAGCCATAAATACGGCGAACTATTTATCCAATAGAAGCATAAACAGTGCTATAGAAAACAGAACGCCATTTGAAAAATGGGTACTAAGAAAACCGTGCGTCAATCATCTCCAGACTTTTGGAACTAAAGCTTTTGTGCTTATAAAAGGTCGTGCTAAAGGTCCTAAATTTGCACCTAAAGCGATTCCAGGAGTATTTGTTGGGTACTCTGACACAAGCAAAGCATACAGGGTATATGTTCCTACCAAACGCAAGATATTTATTTCCAAAGATGTAAGAATTGTCCAGACAAATTTTTACTCAAATACTACCAACAATTTTGACAATCTTACTCACTCTGTTTCTACCACTCCAACAATTGAATTGAACATTGAAGATACTCAAGATCAACGACAAGATACAAATTCAATTCGAATTGTTCCAGATTCCACTCAAGAAATAGGTGTCATTGATCAAGAATATAACACGGAAGATGAACAGCAAGAATTCTACGAAGTTCCTGATCACGATTTTGAACCCGAATCGAACGAACATGAATCTGAACACGAAATTCCACCACATGAGCTGGGGCAATACAATCTGAGAAACAGATCAGCAATACAGCGACCACAACGGTATGGTGACTTTGTACTGGAAGCTGTCGCTGAAGTCGAAAACCTACCGAAGGATCTAGAAACTTATAAACAGGGTATGGAATCTCCTTATAAAGATAAATGGCTCAAAGCTATGTTAAGTGAGATAAATTCACTACACGAAAATCAGACGTGGGATTTAGTGAATTTGCCTAAAGGAAGAAAAGCTTTACCTTGCAAATGGATTTATAAATTGAAAACGAATCCAGACGGTTCAATAGATAAATTTAAAGCAAGGGTAGTTGTTAAAGGCTACTCTCAACAACAAGGCGTGGACTATGACAAGACATTTAGTCCTGTAGCCCGCCTTAGCACAATTCGAGCAATAATAGCAATTGCGGTTAAAGAAAATTTAAAGTTGCGACAATTTGACGTAGCAACTGCCTTCCATAATGGATCAGTCAAAGAAGAAATCTATGTAAAACAGCCTGAAGGGTTTCACGACGGAACCAAACGAGTCTGTAAACTCAAACGCAGCTTATACGGACTGAAACAGGCGCCGCGCTGCTGGAATTCGTGCATAGCCGAGTTTTTACAAGAGGTTGGCTTTCAACAAAGTGAAGCAGATCCCTATACGTTAGAATTAAAGGACGGTCCAAAGTCTTGATTGCATTATATGTCGATGACGGGCTGGTTGCGCATTATTTAACTGCAGCAGGAGACGAGTTCATAGATGAACTGAAAGCCAGATTTAAAATTACTACCAAACCTGCCTCTTATTTTCTAGAAATGGAAATTAACGTGTGCGGCGATCACACTATCACAATTTCTCAAAAAGCCTATACAAAGAAAGTGCTACAAAAATACGGCATGACTAATTGCAAGGCAGCACCAACTCCTATAACGAAAGAAAATTATACGGGAGAGGAAGCAAATGGAAAATTTCCTTATAGACAAGCCGTTGGTGCACTGGCATACCTATCAGTGGGCACTAGACCAGATATCTCATACGCTGTAGATGTTGCGTCTAGGAACCTTGGAGCACCTGAAAGAAAGGATGTTGTACTGGTTAAACGTATATTCAGGTATCTAAAAGGGACACTAAACAATGGCCTTGCGTTTACGGTGAAGTCACCTCCACATTTAGTTTGCTACAGTGATGCAGACCTGGCTGTCGATCAAACAACTGGACGATCGACGTCGGGATACGTTTGCATGTACTCCGGAGCCGCTTTAAGCTGGAGAAGCCAAAGACAAGGGACTGTCTCAATCTCGTCGGCAGAGGCAGAAATAATGGCTGCCAGTGAAACCGCGCAAGAAATATTGTGGCTGAATGCCCTATTAAAGGATATAATCTCCTTAGAAAAACCAGTACTCTACTTGGACAATGAATCGGCTGTGAAACTCATAATCCAAAATATGAGTATCACAAACGTACTAAACACATTAAACTCAAGCATCTCTTTGTACGTGAGTGTGTCACCAATGGGGAACTACTAGTGAAACAAGTTCCATCTACAACACAATTGGCAGATATGCTCACTAAGCCATTGTACGGTCCAAGATCAAAATTCAGATTTGAGTGGAAAAATTGGACTTAAAAGAATTTCTAAATAGAATTACCAAATTCTTAAAACTTCAGAGGGTGTGAAGAGAATGCATATTCTATCACTCTTCATTGTCTATGCTGTAGGTTGCTATGGCTACAGTCCTTAGAGAATGGAAAAAAGTTTCCATAGTCTAAGCTACAGTCTGACTTATTTTTTTTCACTCTTGTCACTCATGTATATACTGTTACATTTAAACTTGGTCTACTTATTAAATATATAATAATATTCATTTATACTTGCATATCCTTTATTATTTACATAACAAAAACTTAAAAATAATACATTGCGGCTTTTACATGGTGCAATTATTATTATTATTATTCTATTTATTTTAAACTCTCGCCTCTTATTATTATTATTATTATTATTAGGGTGGCTTCATTTGGGACCTATGAGGCATGATGAGGGCATCACTGCGACCATTAAATGATCTATTGTGATCACCACTAATTACAGCTCGGAGCCAAGCCCAACAGCGTTAAGGAACTGAAGGATTTTCCTGGCTCCGACAGTTTTTATGTCCTCTGGGTGTGGCCTGTGCCTACCCAGTATGGAACTTCTTACGCCCATTAGAGGGCAGCACTGGATGAGGAGATGCTCAGGAGTTTCATCCGCCTCGTGGCAGAATCTACATTCTCTGTTTTATCTCTGTCCAATATTTGACACATCTGCTTGTTCAAGCCACAATGCCCAGAGCGGCTTGGGGTGAATTTCGCTTTCCGAATTTCAATGGCACTTTTTGAGTGATTTTTGTAACCTTTTTTCTTTTAGTTTTAAGGTCTTAAACGTACAAATAAGTTCGAGCAATATCAATAATTATAAAATCACAGAAATATTGAAGTTAAATACAACAAAAAACGATATTTTAGGTCACACGAATGAGATTGCAGTAACACGAATGATTTTCTCATAAACATAACTGAGAAAGACGGCACAGTAATGAGAAATTATTATTACAACACACATTTTATCGTTCACAAAAGAACATTTAACATCATTTAACATGTAACAAATATTTCAATATAACTTCTTGTATCAAAATCCTTCTCATCCGTGTAAGACCATCTATCTATCTATATGTAATCATGCCATCATATTAAATAAATAACGCTTAGCATTCATGTAATAACATAAAAGTTATTGAAAGGGACACATTTTTGGAGGTTATCTGAAAACGACCCCTTGACTATCTGAGTTTATATAAATATAATTGTTAACGTAGCCTCTCTTCAGGTTCAAAAGGAAATGTTTCTAACTCTAGACTCTCAGTGGTTTTGATCGATTTAGGACACCCTTGCAGATACTGCCCTAGTCTGTGTCTATAGACGTCTCAGGCTGCGTCCCTTGGATTTCTAAATGTAGTGAGATGGCAGCCATCTCCTGCTCCCTGATCAAATCTTATATGTTTATGATCCGACATTGACGTCACTAACATGCCAGCCGGTTATAAGTCTGGCTAGTCTAGCCGTAGAGAATGTCCAGAATTTCTTGTCTTGACCTAGTAACAAACGTTGGTGTACATCCTTCGTTATTAAGATACAGGCAATTTGATAGGATAAAGTAATATAGTAACTCCGACCTCCTCCAAGTTGTGTGGTGAGCATTGGCATCACATCCCACCAGAAGTTCTGCTTTGTGTTTCTGAGCGTATTCCGCAAGTCGTGTCAGATCTTCCGTGGGC